TTGAACCGCTAATTATCAACATCTATGATGAGCTCTTCTAGTGAAAGTGAAAAATATTGCTGTTGTCAAACACATATGTATAATTACTTTTTGTGCCCCCCTTAACTTTCAATCACCTCTATTGACTCTGTGACAGTAGTGTTGTGTTATTATTTACTGATGTTTCTTTTTCAAATATTTAGTTCTGAAATGTCACCTTAATATTTCCATAGTTTTGAGTCCGACCCTGCTCGGTTGTGGTGTCTACGACCATCATGCCAGCGACGCGTGTTGGTTGTTGTGTCTGGTCTCACTTGAAATGGATTCAAGTTTAGGACTTTTCAAGTTTGGAAACAAAAAGGAGCGCACGGGGCCAAATCTGGAGAATACGGTGGATGAGGCAGCAGTTCTTAGCTTAATTTGACCCATTTGTGTTGTGTAAACCAGTGCGTTGTCATGGTGGAACGGTACTATTTTCTTCGCCAAATGGGTCTGTTTTTTCTACAATTTGGCATCGAATCAGCCAAATAACTCCGCACAGTTGATCCCTGTGTCAGTTTTGCCCTTCTCCAGGTAGTCGATGTAGATCACAACTTGTGAATCCCAGAAAACGGTGACGATTACCTTTCTGGCCGATAGGACAGTCTTTGCCTTCTTCGGAGCTCGTTCGCCGGGTGAATTCTATACTGTTTCGACTGTTCCTTGGTCTCTGGTATGTACCAGTGGATCCAAGTTTCGTCGACGGTCACTAAACGACGCAAAATATCCTTCGTATTGCGCTTAAACAGCGTCAAACACTGCTCTGAAGTGGTCTCGCGATTACGCTTGATGTCCGAAGTGAGCAAACGCGGCACCCATCGCGCAGAGAAGCTATCTAATGCCCAATATTTCATGCAGGACAGTCTACTCTATCAATTGCAACAATTGCAACCAAATATACATAGGTCAGACCTCCAGATCTCTTAAAGGAAGGATTACATCACACAAAAGTGATTCTAGGCTTCTGCATCTCATGTTAACACAACAGGGCACTCTATGAACTACACAAGTATCAAAGTTCTCGATAAAGAAAAACAACTATCCAAACGTTTATTCCTGGAAATGTCCCACATTTTCATGAATAGCAACTGTATCAACAAAAAGACAGATGTTAAGCAACCGAGTGTCATTTACTCATATTTGCTAAACTGCGAAAAATTGGAGCACTTACACATCTCCCCAAATTTTGACTCTTCACAACCATAAATGGAATCTGTTTCTTGGTCTATTCCACCAATAAACTTTATTCCATTCAAATTTTAATAATTTTCTCATCACGATTTAATAATAATTGTTAATTTAATTGCCCATTAATAAAGTATAGTCAATTCAACTGCCTCTGGTTGGTTTGACAATTTCTTACATAACACATTTTGAAAATCACATCATCTTAAGTGATTTGGCAACATAGCACACGCCCACAAAATAATTCGTTCCATCTTTCTACACAAACACTGACAACCTTCGGCCTTCTGTCAAAGGGTTCATCTTACTCATTATTCCATGCCCACCATTTTGTACAATCATCAAGTGGCTTCACGATGTAATGCTTTCATGTTCTAAACATTTTTAATCTGTTTTTAACTTGTTCTTGTCACACAGTTGCGTGTATTTTATATAATTTTGACCATTGTACCATCTATCCAGCTTTCACCATGTTACTGGGTGTTTCCCTCATCCTGAACGTAAACAACAATTAGCAACATCCTCACATACTACTGTAAGTTAAATTAATTTAAATTCATTTTACACTATTGTTGCTACTGTTATCAATGTAATTGCAGCTCCTGATGATGATGGCAAAGTCCATTGAAAGCTAGAGAGAATAAAAAAAGTATAAAGAGTCCTCTTTGCTTAAAATTTTTGTCGAAGTACCCAACAAAAGGCGGAAGCTTTAATTTTTCACCTAACTGGCCTAAACGACAATGACCACGTCTCAAAATAAATATATATGTATACAGGGTTTGTCCGGAAAGTAATAGGACTCATTTTCTTCCGCCATGACTGTACTTCGGAGCGTACGCGCACCGACTGGATTCGGTAGAGGGCGTTCCTAGCTAACGAATGAGCGGCTGGTCAGTTGTCTCCGAGCACTTGGAGAGTCAGGACAGGCATTTTCGCGCGACGTGTTTCTGTGAGTGGTGCAAGCCGAAAATGCAGCGTTCGTTAAAGCAGAGGTACCCGATTAAATTCTGTGTGAAACTCGGTAAATCTGCGACAGAGACGTTTGATATGATCAAGCAGGCTTACCCAGGTGTTGCTTTAGCAAGAAGTGGTGTGTTTCGGTGGCACCAGGCCTTTTCGAAGGGCCGGGAAGAGGTCGCTGATGAAGAACGTGCTGGAAGACTTTCGACTTTGACAAACACCGATAATGTGACTCGTGGGCGCAAAGTTTTGAACTCAGACCGTCGACTAAGTATTCGTTTAATTGCCCAGATGTTAAATTTACCAAAATCTGTGGTTCATGACATTGTGACACAGCATTTGAACATGCGCAAGGTGTGCGCGAAGATGGTCCCAAAAGTGCTCACTGACGACCAGAAATTGCGGCGAGTGGAAGTGTGCCAAGAAAATTTGAACATGTGTGAAAGTGACCCCCAATTTTCGAATAACGTAATCACAGGTGACGAGTCGTGGATCTTTGAGTATGATCCCGAGACAAAGAGGCAATCTTCCGAGTGGCACACGACGGCGTTTCCTCGCCCAAAAAAGGGAAGAATGAGCAAATCCAAAGTGAAAACGATGCTCATTGTCTTTTTTGACATCAAAGGCATCGTCCATCATGAATTTGTTCCTCCTGGACAAACCGTCAACGCCAAGTTTTACGTGGAAGTGCTCAGGAGGCTCAAACGAAGGGTCAGTCGGGTCCGACAAGACATCGCAGCCGACTGGAAGTTGCACCACGACAACGCCCCAGCTCACAGCGCGTTTCTTGTGAACAGCTACCTGACCAAGGCCGGCATCCCAACGCTTCCGCAGCCGCCCGACAGCCCAGATGTGCCCCCCCCCCGGACTTTTGCCTGAAAAGGCCGATGAAAGGCAAGCATTTTGAGACGACAGAGGGAATCCAAGCAGCATGCACTGCGGCTCTCAAGGCTATTCCGGAGAATGCCTTCCGTGACGCCTTCAATGCTTGAAAATCGCGCTGGCAGCGCTGCATCGACGCAGAAGGAGCCTATTTTGAAAGTTTTTAAAGGATTGTAACGATTGGCTTAATAATTTTTTTTAAATCGACTCTTTCCTATTACTTTCCGGACAAACCCTGTATATTAATGTATCATCAGCAAATAGTTGAATTTTGCAGTGTTATAAAATATCAGGGCTATCGTTAATATATAAAACAAATAGTAATGGACATAATTTGCTATCCTGTGGCACACCTACCGAAATGTTTTCCATGTTTGATAATGTATTGTCAATTTTAGTTCTTTGACTTCTATTAATTAAATAATTTTGTAATAAGTTGAATACTGAACCTTGAAATCCATAGCAATGCAATTTCGTTAACAATTTCTCCCTGTCAATAGTCCCAAATGCTCTCTTGAAATCTAAGAACAATGTTACTGTAAACTTTTTTTCATCCATGTTTCCCTCCATTCTAATACTACAGTTTGAATTGCTGTTTCAGTAGAATACTTTTTCTGAATCCTGCATGAAATTTTGTCAATATAATCTTATTTCGCTCAATATATTCAATAACTTGTTCATATATGATTTCTTCTAAGAACTTCTCGGCATCTGGCAGTACATAAATTGGCCGCATGTTTGTATATAACTCAGAATTTTGCACTTTAGGAACAGGAGTAATTGTAGAACATAGTAAATTTCTCTTGCGATAGTGGCGCCATCGGGCGTTGAGGCTAAGCACTTATCGGACCTCCCTCGTAGACTCTTTAGTGAATGTTAACAGGGTCGAACCCAATAATCTTTTTTGTAACGGTTGAACTCTAGTCTTGTTCACAATTTTTAGTTTCATAACTTTGTTTAGTTTTTGAAAATGTCCACATAATGCTTACTGATGGATGATGCAGTGGAAACAGAGACATTGCGGACAACTTTCATTTTTACGACATAACCCCATGAGATCCGTATCACCACCCATCATAGCTGGAGCGCCATCGGTTGTCAAGCCTACCATTTTCGATATTGGAATTTTCTCAGATGAAGTGGTATTTTTAAAAGAAGAAAACAAGTCCTGCCCACTAGTCTGTTCTTTTAATGGAATAAACTTCAAAAGACCTTCTTTAATCGTAAAATCACTAAAAACCATCCTGACGAACACAGCCATGTGTCAATGACATCTGTGGATTGATCCAGATGCAGTAAAAAATAAGCACAGTTTCATTACTTCTACTCGTCTCATCACTGTATTAGTAGTCAATATCTCGTCTTTATTTATAAAGTTGGCAAATAATGAAACTGCAGCTTCTAAAAACGCCTGTTTTATCATTTCCCCATCTTCATAAAGTTTCTTCTTTCGTGTAATTATCTGGGACCCCCCGGTATGATGCTTCAGTTGCAGCCTCACTTCTGTCTATTGTTTTTAAAAACATTGTCTGGTGTCCAATTAATTGATTTTTTAATTGTTTCAGTTTTTCTGTTCTGGTTGCAGAACGTAATGGGAATAATTTTTCCAAATTCAAATGTACAGATAAACGAGATCGTTCTCGAACAGACCGCTCACCGCAGTGTTGCCGCTGCTTGTGTTTATTCTGAAAATTTACAAAATCTACGGAAGCTTGTATGATTTTTACACCTTTTTAAAATGCGTTGTGAGCCACCATAATTGCCTCTGTGAGCTACAGGTAGCTCGCGATCGACGAGTTGGCGACCACTGCCCCAGACAGATAGGTTCGGGGTTAAACCACCATAAGCACGGGGATGGATCCAATAAAAAGAGAACAGGCCCAATTCGTCTATATCTAAAGACATGTTTTTAGCTTTATTCTGTTATTATGTGTATCATTCTGTTTCAAACTTACTTTCAGGTCGCATGTAGTATTGAGTAGTAAATTGCTAGGTTTCAAGTCTCTGTGAAGTACGTTCGCCGAGTGGATATATTTCAATCCTCGGAGGATCTGGTAGAGGAAGTAACATATATGATCGTTACTCAGTCTCTGAAACAAAAAAGAGAATTCAGGTATGATATATTGCGCTCAATGGTGGTGTACATAAATTACTGGAAAAATGAGTGCCTATACTGAGTGTAATAAATTCGCCCCTCACCATTGGGAACTCGGAAGCGGTATGAGATACGAAGTGGCTTAACTAATGGGGACAAAGTTGCGCGTGTTTAGGCAACTAACAAAATGCCGAAATTCACAGTACTTCCGAAAAACAGAATGTTATCAAAATCGTTTCAATTTGCTCCTGACTTTATTTGTAATGATATTTCGAAATAAATTTCACATTAACATTGCCAGTTTTTCTCCTCTATAAGATAACATATACTAAGTGACATATAAATCCGAACACCCAGTTTAAATGGTTTTATTTTAATAAAAGTTGCTGAATGTATTTATCTTACTGTAAATAACAAGTGAAAAAATTTTCAGTCTTATCAGTTGGACATTCCGGTTTGTATACTGCTTTTTTTTTAATTCACTAACGCTCTAAAAATGAATATTTCAGCCGCAGTAAAGAATCAACGTTGCCGGATTTTGGTTCTTGACATCCTTTACGATCAGTTACGATGCCTAGAGTACGGAGACCTGTACGATTTCATCAACTTAGTGAGTTTGATAGGGGCCGTATAGTGGGACTTTCTTTTCGGGCAATTGCAGTTAGAGTGTAAAGAAGTGTAGACACTGTGGTTAGGTGTTGTCAGGCATGGCTTCGAGAAGGCCGTACGCAAAGAGCAAGGGACACTGGACGCCGCCGTAGAACAACAGACCGTGAAGATCGACGCCTAAGATTATTGGCCTTAAGGGAGCGTTTCTCCACTACCAGGTCCATTGCAAATGAATGGTTTGCAGAACACGGAAGACCTATTGGCATGCGAAGTGTTTACCGACGAATGAGAAGTTTTGACTTGTTTTCATATCGGCCACACTGGGTCCTCCCTTTAACTCGAGAACACCGACGTAATCGCCTTGAGTGGTGCAGACAACGGTCACTCTGGGATCAGGAATGGAACAGTATTATCTTTAGTGACGAGTCTCGATTTTGTTTAGGCATGCACGATCGTCGTGCCAGGGTTAGAAGGCGATGTGCTGAAAGGAGGAATCCGCAGTTTTTTGTTGAAAGACATGTTCATCACACTGTTGGAGTTATGGTTTGGGGTGCTATAGCTTATGGTTCCAGGTCACCTTTAATCTTCATCAGAGGTAACATGAACGCGCAGCGTTATATCCATGAAGTTCTAGAACCCCATCTTTTACCCTATCTTGACACCCTGGCAGATCCAACTTTCCAACAAGATAATGCCCGACCACATGTTGCAAGAGTCACAATAGACTTCTTTCAACATAATGATGTCACATTGTTACCATGGCCACCAAGATCTCCCGACTTATCCCCAATTGAGCACGTGTGGGATATGATTGGTAGGAGATTGCTCAATTTGCAACGTCCTCCTCAGACTCTAGAAGCACTTCAAGAGGAGTTGGTGGTTGCCTGGAATGAGATACCACAGGAGGACATTGACCACCTGATCAGAAGCATGCCTAGGCGCGTTGGAGAATGCGTAGCACATCAGGGTGCATCCACACATTATTAAAGGTCAAAGGGCTTTAAAGCAGTGCAATCATTTTGAATTTTTTTTATCATTTACTTATTATGCTTCATTAAGTACTTATACAAAATTTTATTAAAATAAAACCATTTAAACTGGGTGTTCGGATTTATATGTCACTTAGTATAATTAGAATTTGAATATAACGTTTTGTCTCATATCCTCCATCATCAAATTTATTTTTTCTCAAGGAAGCCATATTGGATTTTTGCACTGGTGAATAGAGTTTTTAATTCCGATTAAAAATTAATGAATAATATACCAAACATTGACAGTGTCAAACCTTAGTTATTTCAAACAACAGAATTTCCTAGGTAGGCCTTGAAATTACCAGTTGGTCATTTGTTTTATACAGGGTCTTTCAGAACTATGGGATCAAACTTGTAGGGGTTATTCAGTATAATAGTAGAAAGCATTTGAGTATAGGGAATCGTATCCGGCGCTTGTGTGTTGTTATCTTTAAAAACGATCACAGAGATTGTTTTTTGTGTTATCGTGTTTGTGAAGTTTGCAAGAATTTAACAAAAATTAATTGTTGCTAATGGAATACTTTACCAATCAAGAATTGGCGGATATACACTTGGCATACGGAGCAACAAGCTGCAATGCACGAGCAGCAGCACGGTTGTATCAAGAACGTAATCCCGAACGACAGCATCCGGGATACAAAAAGTTTATTGCTATTCATCGGCGGCTCTCCGAGACAGGCATGTTTAAAACCAACATGCATGATACTGGTGTTGCTCGAACCGTAAGAACGGTCGAATTTGAAGAAGAGGTCCTTCAGCGAGTTGCCGACGAACCATCAAGTAGCACACGTTCACATTGCTGAGGATGTGAATACGAGTAACGCTTCCGTCTGGCGGGTGCTACACGAGCAACAACTTTATCCTTACCACTTGCAGAAAGTTCAAGGATTGACCGCAACCGATTATCATCCTATTTTATCCATCCATCCAATTTTGTCAATGGCTTCTTCATCAAATCGCTGCACAACCAATTTTTTTACGCTACGTTTTATGGACCGATGAAGCCTCTTTCACAAGAGACGGTATTTTCATTAGTAGAAATTGTAGTCACGTTTGGGACAAAGAAAATCCCCATGCAATTTTTTTTAGAAAACATCAGCAACGTTGGTCTGTCAACGTATGGGCCGGCATTATTGATGATTATTTGATTGGGCCATATCTCCTACCGGAACGGTTAACAGGACCTATTTACCGGCATTTCTTGGAGGAAGTTCTTGTAGAACTTCTTGAAAATGTTCCATTGAACATTCGACAGCAAATGTGGTTTCAGCATGATGAAGCGCGGCTCACTTTGCTGTACAAGTATGTGAGTATTTGGCTCAGCGGTTTCGGCACCGTTGGATTGCCTGAGGTGGAGCAGTTTCTTGACCTCCTAGGTCACCCGATTTAACGTCGCTAGATTTTTTCTGTGGCGACATGTAAAGTCTTTGGTTTATGAAACTGCAGTAGAAACAGAGTAAGACTTAATTGGATTAATTACAGCAGCATTTGAAATCATTCAAAACGATTATCAAATTTTTAGTCAAGTCCGCCGAAATGATGTGCGACGTTTAAATCGGTGTATTCAGGTTGGAGGAAGACATTTTGAACAATTGTTGTGATGATATCATGTACAAAAGTCAAAAATTAAATGCATTAAATCCTGCTCAGGCAATTTATCGTCTTTTCCGGATATGGGTCCCTATACTTTTCTACTATTACACTGAATAACCCCTAGAAGTGTGATCCCTTAGTTCTGAAACACCCAGTATAGCAGATTTATCGTCAAATTATTTCTATTTTTCCCTGACTTTATTTGAGTGAGAATTGAAAATAAATTGCATGTTCTTATTGTCATCTTTTCGCTAAGACCTTACACGGCAGTGGTATAGAATATCTGAAAATCTTATTATTTACAATTTGTATTCTTTTACTGCTTTTTCTTATTATTCTACTTTAAACACACCCTGTATGTAGTGATTGAGAATCAAAGAGACTTATGGACGGGCGAAGTGAAAGTTTGACACAAAAAAAAACACATACGAGCCCCTTCCCACTTCAGCTGGCCCACTTCAAGATTTGTACCAAAATATGCCTTTATAACCTAAACTGTATCCATCGAAGAAACAAAGTAAAATCAAACATATACACCCGTATTGCACGTGATCAAGAACTTAACCGTAGGAGACACTACAGGGCCGTATCAAGCTATTGTGACTGATCTATCAAAAAATGTCGTACAAGATATGTGTTGCTGTAAATTCTATCAAAAGCATAGTAAATTATCAGGAATATACCACGCCTTTCTAATCATATTTCGACATTAGGAATCAGTGCAAAAAATTCTGTATTCACCATTTCAGCAAAATGTTACTAAAACGCACACGAAAAAAACTTGTGGACCATCTCAATTGAAATTGTTCATATTTTATTATTAACTTACATATATACCCAATAATATTTACAAATCAACCTTCTATTCACAACGCAGAGCAAATTTTTTTGAGCAAATAGAAACTACAGACGTAGTAGTAGTAGTAGTACAAAAGTTTATTACAGACTCCATAAAGTTTGTTAGTTTGATTGCTATTAAAATTTACATGAGAAATAGGAAGAAGGTCAAAATGGCACTATTATGCTTTGGAACTCCTAAATTAACCCTAATTTTGTGTAATTATAAATTTGGAATTTCCACATTAATAACTAGAAACTTACACTTTGATTGCAGTCTATAATGAACTTACCTGTCTTGCCAAAAAACCCGTTAAACTGCCAGTCTTAATGGTATCAATCGATTTATATGCTGTATTCCGAGGAGCTTGAATCATCAGAATTGTTGATGTCAATTATAAGGGGTTCAACTTGGGTGTCAATGATATTGTCCATATCCCACATTTTGGTTTCAACCTTCTCTTGGACATGGTCAATACATGTTCTCCATTTTGCTGGCGTAATTCTATCGACAGCAACATCAAACAGTTTTTTAAGGTCAGAAAACTTAAAAGTGCTGTTATTTGACGGCACGTATTGCTTGATGTCGGCCCAAATCAACTCGATAGGATTCAGTTCGCAGTGATAGGGAGGCAGCCTGAGAATCGTTTTATTTTGGTTTTTGGCCATTTCGTCAACAATTTTTAAATCATATTTATACTTATGTCGCTTGACTATATTCATCAGCTCATCTTTGACCATTGTTTGGTCGAAGTCGATCTTCTTTGAGACAAGCCACTGTTGAATGTCTGCCTTTTTGGTGGCCATTGTTGGAATTTTTTCCAATTTTCTGGAGTGGTACGGGGCATTATCCATCACAATAATTGCGTTATTATCAAGTGTCGGCAAAATTTTTTTGAACCAATTTTCAAATGAGTTACCATCC